CTCCCCCTCACTCACCTGGTGAAACCGCACGAGGACATTGGAGAGCTGAATTCTGTCCAGCAGCGGCAGAGGGAAGCCCTGTTCTAACCTGGCTGGAAGAGACAACACACATGGCCGCATTGGGATGGGAAGGGGAGCAAGCGGACACCTCCCCTCGGCCCTTTCCTCGCCCCCATTGCTCCGGGGTAGCAGGGGAAATTCCTCCCAAGCCCCACAGCAGGGCTGGGGGCTGCGTGTTGTGCCGTGCCACTCCCCCACCAGCCCTGCTCTGGCCCCATGTGCTGGGGCGTCAGAAGCAGCGAGCGGGGGGAGAGGGTCTGGAAAGCATTAGGATGTGCGTCGTGCTCATTTTTTCCATTGTGTTCACCGCTGGATGCATGTCACAGCACCGAGAGGCTCCTGCACGCCGCTGCCCGCAGCCTGCCTCGGACGGGCGCTTTTACTGCCGTCTCCTGCGCTCACTGCAGGCTGTATCCACCGATCAGGCTTGGTAACGGGGATTTAATTATCAAGCTGGGCCTGCTCAGACAGAGCGACCTGGCCGGTGACTACCCCAGCACCCCCATTCCCCCCAGCAGGTTCTCACCATTAAGACGCGGGAGCAGGATACTGGAAGCAAGTATGTTCATTATGGACTGCAGCGTTCGCACCTAGGGAGCGGAGAGAGGGGGAAGGAAAAGAGCTTTAGCCTGCGGGAGAGCAGGTAACCAGGCACCAGAGGATAACTAGGAGAAGAAAAAGAGATGAGGAGCTGGGACGTGCACACGCGTCGCCAGAGACCAGCGGTTTTGTCTGGCCGCGCTGGCGAGGTAGGAAGCCTAGGGGTGAGAAAGGCAAAGGCATCTGACTCTGCATCCTCTCCCAGTCTCACAGGCTGAGGCAGGAGGTGTCCGTGGGCTTAGTGTAGGGTCCTGGGTGCACCCCCAGGTCCCGTGTTGGGGGTGGAGGGAATGAGCCCTCTCCTTGGCCCCCAGCAGGCTCTTGCCGCCATGCCGGGGGCTCTAGGCATGGTCAAGGATAGCATACCTGGAAAGTGCCAACATCCGAATGCTTCAGAGAGAGCTTCATCCTGCGCAGAGACAGAAGCGGTGCTGTGAAGCCTGTCCCAACAGAGGGAGCGGTTCCCGCCTCCGTGCCACCTGTCGACAGCCGTGCGCTTCCGGCTCCCTCCAGCCCCAGCTCATCCCCTCTGCACCAGGTCCCCATCCCCAGGACCTCCCCACCTCACCCCTGTCACCGGGAGCCCAGAACAGAAGTACCCCCCCAGCCAAACTCCTGCACTGCTCCCCCTCCATACCTGCCCACGTTCAGGCTTCCAACTATGTGGCTGGATTTTATGTCGATGACGGCGGACACGTTGCCTGTCTGGGGAGAGAATGCACAGCTCTGGCAGCGCTCATCCCACCTCACCCCAAACCAGACACCCAGGGGAACAGCTCCAACCAGCTGAAATGCAGCGGGACCGCTGCCTGTCCAGGGGCACGTTTGCATGCAGCATTAAACCTGGCATTTGTCAGCTTGGGTATTTTTCTGTTGGGGACACCCCCACTGCACCAGGACTGGGCTGGTTTCGGACCATGCCCGGCACCTCTCCTGGCAGGAGCTTGAGACCAATGGCTCAGCATTGCCAAACACAGCAGGAGGGCGGTGCACAGCTCAAACTCCCATCTTCGCCCCGCTGAGATGCAGGGGAGAGCTCACCAACTGCACTGCATCAACCAGAGCTGTGGCTGCACCGGGAGCTGCCCGGCCAGGACCACGGTCACCACCGCAGGCTGTGCCAGAACTCACCAGGGTGAGGAGGAAGAGAGGAGCCAGGGTGGAGTTGGGAAGGATAGCGTAAGCCTGGACATCCACGACAGGCTTGAGCGAGAGCCCCCCTGGTCCAATGCTCAGGAACGGGGCGGAGAGGGTGGACAGCCTGAGCTTCATCGGCATGTCTGGGTACATCTTCTCTAGCTGCAGAGGAGCAGGGAGAGGGTAGGGACAGCGGCACAAACCCCCATTCCTGGGGGAGACCACCTTGCACAGAGCAAACCCCCGGCTGTGTGCGGCAGGAGCTCCAGCGAGGCAGGGCTGGACCGCTCACCTGGGGAACGAAGGCTGAGAAGGTGGAGGTTGTCAAGTGGAATTCAACGTCCTTTGGGATCTGCAGGAGGAGAACAGTCACAGCTGGGTGACACGGCACAGCCGAGCCTGCGGCGAGATCAGCCCTCACGTGCTGCCATGCCGGATGGCCCCAGCCCCATCCCGCAGCCCCCGGGCAGCTTGCTGGGAAAGCCGTGGAAGCCCTCCGAGACCACACGCTGCCCCCGGAGCTCCTCTGCAAATGGAGCCTGCTGCCCAGAGGCGTGGGGACAGCCCCCATCCCACCTGCGCTGCTCACCATGGAGTCTGTGATTTCAAAGACCAGCGCCCCGGCTGCGTGGTAGGCAAAGCCGGCTGTGTTGAAGAAGTAGCTGGAGGCTGCGAAGTAAACCATGCGGTCGTGATCCGGGGGGAAGGCCAGCGGCAGTGGAGGGAAGGGGACGGCGGAGCGGTGGGCCAGGGAGAAGAATTCACCCTGGGAGGAGGGAGAGAGGTGAAGCAGGGGAGCAGAGGGTGGTGGGACTCACCCACTGACCTGAGCTGGGAAACAGCATTTGCAGGAGGTGCCTAAACCTGGTTCCCCACCCGCCTGCGGCAACGGCATCGACCAACTCAAGCTTTCCCAGGGCAGCCTCTCACCTTCAGGTACGCGTCCAGGGCTTGGGCGGTAGCAGTTGGGGGTGCCACCAAGGAGTAATCGATGCCAGCCATGGCATCTATTCGGGCTGTGACTGTAAAACACGGGACAGACGGTTGAGCGGGAGGGAGATGGCATGGGAAAGCCAGGAGCGGATCGCCTCCGCTGACATCCAGGCAGCGCCGCACCCAGGCTTCCCAGTGCAACAGCTCAGTACCAGCTTCATGTGATTTTTTGCTTCTAAACAGAAGCAAGCACGCATTTCCCTCCTGACTGTTTCTCAGCCATGCAGACTAAACTCCTGGGCCTGAGGAACGGTCTGGGTCCCCCTGGCTAAGGCAGCCCGTGCTCCCACCAGCCCCGGGGCACAGCTCGTTGGAGGCTGCGTGCACGGCTGGACGGGTGCACAGCGACCAGTCTCTGCTGACATGGTGTTCCCCAGCTCCCAGCTGGGTGCAGAAACACAGGGAAATGGGGAGTGGGCACAAGGTCAAGCACTGTCCTCATGGCTGGGAAACACTAGGAAGAAACACCCCTAAAACCCGGTGCAGCCCCCGCCCCGTACCTGGCAGGGTCTGGAGGTACGGCTGGAGCTCGCTGTGCACAGAGCTGACCACATTCGTGCAGACCTGCGGGAAAGAAAGGCAGCGAAGCTGAGCTGCGGGAAAGCAAGGCAGCGAACCTGAGCAAGGGCAGCTCTGCCGCGGGCGGCCGGCTCACATCCCCCGGGTCAAGGCCTCAGCCGCACTCTCTGCTTTGCTGCCCAGTGCTGGTTTTATGCCTTGCAAAAGCCTGCTTAAATAAAAGAGCACACAGTGACGTTTGTCTCTACTCGCCAGGCAGCACATCAAGTGTCCAAGACGCAAGCAGGGTTTATACCTGCAAACATCTGCTCGCAGCAAGCTCCCCACCCACAGTTCAGCTCCACGGGGGCCCTTGGAAGAGCCTCACGTGTGCCCTCAGACTTTTCCTACAGCCCCTGCTGAAATGAATTGTGCTGAGCAGCCAAGGCTTAGCTGAAGCGGAGCAACTGAAAGAGTTAACCCACCCCGCAGGGGCAGGAGCACTAGTTGCAGGGAGCACTAGTTGCAGGGACCAGGCAGAGCTATCCCGCGTTCCTACAGCTCTGTGCTGCCAGGACAGAAGAGCAAACCCCTCTGCCGCTGTCATCCACGGGTGAAGCCTCGGCATTAGTGGTGGATTTAATTGCAGGCTAAACCCTGACCCAGGAAATTTACTGCAGGGCACAGTCTTGCAGATGGCTGAGATAATCTGCACAACGCTTTCCCCATAATGGCACAGAAACTGCCAGGCAGCATCAGGACATCGTCCGTCTGACCGGACATCCAGCCTGCAGCAGCTGATAGCGAGATGCAGAGCTCCGGAGGAACAGCGACCGTGCTAGCGGCAATGCAGCCACTGCCTGTGCAGCGCTGGGGAGGAAGAGGAGGGATGGAGCCTTGCGCGTGGCCTTATCGACAGAGGGTTGCAGCTCTTCCCTGTGCCCAGCCGGTATTCGTCTGTCTGTCCTGGAAACGCCTCATTGCTGCCTGAAAGGATGGAGCTGCAGACAGACAAACGCAGCCCTGATCCCAGTGACCGGGATCTCCCAGTGACTGGGTCCCCCGGCACCGGGGGCACGAGGACCGTCCAGGTTTGTGTGGCGAGAGCAGGAGGCAGACGTGGGCTGCCAGGGCCGGAGCTGGGTTGGGACTGGGCTGTGCCTTGGGGTGCCGGTGCAGCGCGCTCCCAGCCCCTGCCCGTCGCCATCTCACACCCAGAGAAAGACGCTGAGAAACGTGCATTGGGTGAAGGGGGTCGGGCACGCTGCAGGAGGAGCGGAGGCAGCAGAGATCCCCTCGGAGCTCCAGAGCTGCCCTCCTTCCAGGAGGCAAAACAGCAGAAAAGGCCTTGGAGCCCCAGCTTCGCTCCTGCTGCTAGGCCATCTGCTGCCACCGCTCCCGGGTGCCCTGGGAAAGCCACTACATGGCATTGGGAATAGCGCCCGGGCAGGATGGGATCTGCTGCGGGAGTGGGATTTGCCTGTTCTCCAACTGCTTCCTTCCTGAGCAAGGTTCACATCCAGGGAGGCTGTAACTTGTGCCAGTTAGCCTTGTAGTAATTATTGCTAACAGCTTGTTTCCATGTCTTCTTGCAGGTCTCCCGCATGTAGGCTTTTGTACCGGGCGGACGGTACCAGGGCCTCCCTGATGCGCCCCAGTAAAACAAGACGGCAAGCGTCGGAAATCCAGAAATGAGAATTCCTCCCGCATTGCTCCCCAAGGCATACGGGAGTGCAGCCGTTTAAAGGACAGCTCTGATCAGGTTTCCTCTGTTACAGTGAGTTTGGCTGATGTATGAGATCTAATTAACTGACCACATGGAAAGAAAAGTCTTTGTTAATTAGGAACCAATTACGGTGGGCTTTGGCAAAGGCTGCAGGTTTCAAATTCAGCCTGAGCCACAGGATGCGACGGAGGCTGCAGTTAGCGATGCCCATTCCTCCGGTTGTCACCAAATCAGCAACACGCCCGTGTGCTCTGGCTCTAGTTAAATCCCCACGTGCGCTCTGATCCTTCTAGCACACCAGCTACAAGCGAGGGCTAAAGACCAGCAGAAAAACCCGGAGCTCTGCCCTCCGCTCACGTACCTTGTTCTCCAAGATCTTCCGGAATCTGGACTCAACAGCATCATGGAAGAGGTTATAAAGCCATCTGCAGAAAAAACAAGTCCTTCTTTAGCTCAGAGGCTGCTGCAGAAGTATTTGCCAGGAAAGGGAGACACTAGCGATTCCGGAACGCTGGGGAACATCATTCCCATAGCAGTTTGGCATCTAGCTTTGCCTCGGGGTTCACATTTGCAAACAGACCTGCTTGTAAACCACATGCACGCAAGTATAGTGGCTGCCTTAAATCTCCCTTAAACGCGCAGCCACAGCAGGACAAATCCAGGCCAGATTTAAGTTCATTCAGGTGCACATCTGGATGAGCAGTATGTCGCAGGAGTCCAGAGACAGCTGGCTAGTGGCATGCCAGCGCAGGCAGCCCGCGGGCCAAAGGGGCAACCTCCAAGGGACTACAGATAGGCCAACATCTTATTCCTCGCACCAGGGCCTGGAAGCCGCATTCCCACGGCAGACGGGCTGACGGGCAGCATTTCTAGACCCACGTGGTGAAGTTACGTACCCAAACTTGCCAGAGAAGTGTACCCGGACTTTGGAGATGCGGGTGCTGCAGTCAGAGGTGTCAATGGTGGGTTTCCCAGAGGTGTCACTGCCCAGCTTCAGGTTGATTTTGATATAGATGTTCTCTACCTTCAGGTCAAATGAACCGCGGTCCCGGCTGCAAGGAGAGGAGGATGAGAAAGGGGCATTTCTCAGTGCCGAGTCCTGGCGAAGGGACCCCAAATCAGCTTTGGGATGGATCTATCTAGCTCAGGCTCTCCCTTGTACTGAGCATCCAGAGGAGACTGGGCAAGTTTTTAAACTCAGGGAAACTGAATTTCACTGGCACATAAGCTAGGAGAGGTAGCCTTTAAATAGAGAGCAAGTGAGGGAGATGGGAGAGAGACAGGAGAGCTGATGCACAGCTCCTCCATCGTCCACCTTGTTCTTGCCTCCCACCCTGTTTTATCCATCTCAGTGGCCGTACGAGTGGCAGCAACCTCTGCCCACCCCGTCCCGGCTCGGGTCTGTCCCTGCGGGCACTCAGGAAGGTGCTCCCCAGTGCAAACCAGTGGGAGGGACCATCCCTCGCACCCCCAGGTGCCACAGTAGGGGAGACGGCTTTCACGTTGTCTCCCCAGCCACTCGCAAGCCGGAAAA